TCTTCCTCCCGAGTCTCACACTCCCTCACTTTGACCCTGTCTGTCCTGGAGCTGTACAGGGTGAAGGCCTCTGGGAAACATGGTTCCCAGCCTGCAGAATAGCAGTAGGAGACTCGAGCGCACGGTGTCAGAAATCAAGCTAAGGCCTTAGAGGCAGCACCTGCTGGAGAAGGGAGAGCGGCCCCTGGAAGGAGAGGCGTCGTGCACATGGGGGTCAGGGTGCTGCCTGGCTCTTGGGTGGGGAAGGAGGCGGCCCCGGGGGGGCTGGGAAGGTCCGTCCCTGCCTGGGTGGGCAGAGCGGGAGGGGCACAGCAGAGTCCCCAGCCTCATCCCTGTCCTCCTGCGTTCTTCCATCCCTGTCACCTGGCGGGGGCCACAACCCCCAGCCCAGTCAAGCCCTGGACGATAAGCAGCTCTCTTTTGTCCCCTCTACGCGTGGTCCGGGTGCCGCATGCCTCGAGTTCTCAAAGCTCTTTTGCCATACAACATTTTGGAAATTTCCTTCATCGAATTAGACCATTTTCCCCTACGTGAGTTGTCTCACTCAGCAAGGTCATGGGCCCCAAGATTATGTATTCTTCCAAAATTTCCTCTGAAAGTTTTCATTTTTAACATTTAAATCTCTAATCCACCTGAAACTAACCTTGTAAAGGTTATAAGAGGCTCATCTGTGTTTTCCTGCCTGTGACACCAGTACAAGCACTTGGCAGGAAACACGAGGGTCCCCGCTGTGGCCTGTCAGATGCTGTCCCTGAGTCGGGCTAGTCCTGTATCTTTGCCCCAACGCCGCTGGCTGTCCCCGTGGCAACTCCTGGCCCTGAGTGTCCTGTTTTTCACACTCCCACACCTGGCACACACGTGCTTGAAAATGAACAAAGCAAGCCTGTCTTTTCAAGAAACACAACTGACAGTATTTGTGATCAATGATAAAATTCAAGCTTTCATGCAAAGCTTGGAATTTTGAAAAACTTGCACCTGCCACCATGAGCTTGACAACTTCCTGAAGTCAAGACTTCTCTGCTGAGCTTGATGGTGATGCTAACAAAAGTAGCTGACGCTGTTTAATGAACCACGCCAACATTTAGGAGGCCTGCGTGTTCCAAGTGCCTGTCGTATGATGTCACAAAAGTACGACGGGTGGGGAAAGGTGCTCAGGTGTGAGACGGACGGACAGCTTCTAACACGACAGGGCAGTGACAGTCCTAATGTGGATTCCGACTCCACGTCACAGCTACCTGTAAAGAACCAACACTTGTCGAGTTTGGTGCAGCCACCTGCAGATGTTATTAAAATATCCCTTTTTTCTCCAAAAATGCATCTGTGTGAAGCTGGATTTCCCACAGAAATGCATCTTTTTGAGCAAACAGCACCCTACAGCAGCCCGAGTGGGGAGTCAGCTGTGAGCCCAGCTGAGCTCCGGCCAGAGAGCGCGGGACTGACACCACAACGCCACCCTTCTCGCTGAAAGTGGTTTCAGAAAAAAATATTTTCCATGCAACTGGTATTCATGTTAACATATATGGGTTTATTGATATTTTGAACGGAGCACTGTTTAAATCTGAGGTCTGATTCTAGTCAGGTCGCCTAACAGGTATTGATATTGGGAACTAGCACCCCCATGAACAAACGCTCTTTGGCACCTTCAGTAACTGTGAAGAGTGGAAGCGGGTCCTGAGGCCACAGTTTGAAGCGGTTGCTGAGGGCAGCACATGCAGGAATGCAGGCTGAGCCAAAGGGCGCGGTGGCTCCAGCTTTAGAGGAGACAGTACCACCTCGCTCCTCGAGGGGCTGTGCCCACTCACGAGCCCACGTGCGGGCTGTTTCCATTTGGAAGTGGGTTCCCCCTTCAATGTCGGCAGCTGGCACGCCAAGAGTGTGAAATGGCGCATTGAGGTTTTATTTTGCATTTTCCCATCGCTTCCTGGGCTGGGCGTGTCTTCCTATTCCACAGGCCTCTGACATTCACGGCACTCCTATGTCATATGAATTTTAAAATAATCTCGTCCATTTCAAAACAAACAGAAAACCCAGCGTTACTGACAGTCCACTTAGAATTACATTAACAAAATGATGACATTTTATTTCCTTTTGGGGCTTTCAGGAATATGTTAAGTTTCTCCACATGCTCAGGTGTTTTCGATTTTTCAATAAAACTGAACAGTTGTCTTCATATGGATCCTATACCTTCCTGGTTACACTCACTCCTAGATATTCTGTATTTTTAAATCATAACTGTTAATAAAACACATTTCCATTCTCATATTTAACAGGTTTAAGGTGGTTTCGAGAACTCTTGGTCCTTTGGACATTTGGTTTTCTGGGTATACAAAAATACTATTTGAAAATAAAGGTGCTGTTCATTTCTCCACTCGCCTCTTATCCCGCTCACTCCATCTGTCTTACTGCGTTGGCTAATACTGTCAAAGCGACATTAGATAACGGCCAGAGCGAGCACATTGGTCTGGTTCCCGGTATTAGCTTTCGGCGTTTGCACGCAGTTTTGCTGCATCCTGTCAAATATTTTAGCATTTACCGATATAGCCATTTTTTTCCTCCTTAATAGACCAATAATTCAGAAAAAATGGGGAGTTTGTAAAGACACTAAATTTAGGAAAGGCGTGGCCCTGGCAGTCCCACAGCGAGCTCTGCCTGACGGAGGTGACTGTTCCAGCCCAAGGAAAGGGACGGACAGGCAGCGCGGCTTGCGAGGACAAGGACAAGGACGCACAGGGCTCTGACCCCCACTCTGACAGAGAGCAGGGAAAAGAGAACAGACCAAAACCACCCCTAAGCACAAATGGGAAAACGCGACAAACATTGTAGCCGATACCTTGTGGTACTGGAGTCCTAATGTCCCGCGACCATGATCTAGGAACAAAGATGTTGAAGGTGAAAACCTGCTACATAACTTAGAACCTGAATCTGTCACCTCCTGGGGGAGCTTCTGGGTGTGACCATCCTGATGGGCCGCACACACGCTCGGGTGGGTCCAGCACCCTACCAGGCTGAACCCAGCCCGGACTCCGTGTTTGTTAAACAAATGAGTTCTTGTGGGGCATCTTGTCTGAAAGGCAGATGGGCACAGGAGCTAGACACCAGCTGGGCAAGCCCCCCAGACTCAGGTCTGCAACATGAGCCATCTCCCAGCTCCCCATCTTGGCAGTGGGGTGCTGGAGCTGACGTCAGCCTCTCTCTCCAACTGCGGGTTTGGTAACATCACATTGGAAGCTGAAATTGGCCTTGGTGGGAATATCTCCACTAAGGAAAGGTCACACTTCTGGGCTCCAGCCACCACGGCAAGGCCTGGTAACCGTTCGCCAGACACACCAGCCTTCAGCCCCAAAGCGAAGGGTTTGCGTCCACAGCAGACGCCCTTGGGAAGATCCCTGAGTAGCTGAGGAGGGGTCCTGCTTGCCTGGCTCTGCCTCTGGCCTCCGGAACACTGGGCGACCACTGCCTGGATGACATCAGGGCCACGGAAGTGTCAGATGAGCTGGCAGTTGTCCCACCCGGATGACATGTGACAAAACCTCCTGGCAGGCCCACTCCTCCATGCCCCCGCAAGACCCCAGCAGTTGGCCCAGCCGTAGCCACAGGGGGCTTCCCTGAACCATAAGTCCGTCCATGTCACCTGCCACTAACCCACGCACCAGAACGGCTGTGTGGGCAGCAGTGTGCTAGTTCCAGGGGAGAATCGTACACTGCTGGGCCCAGCCTCCGTTGCAGCCAGTGGCAAGGCCCACGGAGCCTACGAGCTTCAGGAGGAATTTCTCAGAGGAGCCTCTAGAAAGGTTTTCTGCCGGCCAAGGCGCAGGGGCAGGGAGGTGAGGTTATCCTTGTCCTGCAGCCCAGGCCGCCCCACCCCAGCTCCTGTCCAGATCCCAGCAGCCGGAAGCGTCCTGGCCACAGCCGTCACCTGGGCATGGGGGGCACCTCTCCGGCCTGGCCCCCAGCTCTGTGTGGCCAGCCCCTCCTCGGCCTCCAGCCAGCCCTTCCTTTCCAGCAATATCTCAACCCACTGAGTTTACTTCTCTAGTCACGTGTTTGTCTCCCCTGTGAGGCGTGAGCTCCGTGAGGACAGGCCTTGTCTGACCGCCAGAAGCCCCAGGCCCAGGAGGTAGAACAGGGCGGTGCCCATGAGCAGGCGGTGTTATCTTCATTAGTGTTAGGTAGCACTGGGGAGACGGTCACAACGCCTGGCGTTCCAGGGACAGGAATAAAAAGGTGCTGGAAGGCCGCGGGCCGGGTTTGCTGAGTGTCAGAGGTTACTTTAGGGCATTCGCTGGCCCTGGTGAGGGAGAAGGCTGGCCCCTCCGGGACAGACTTCGCTGAGGGGCCAGCCAGCGTGACCTGTTTGCATTTGCTTTTGTTTCCAGAACAGGCCAACCCACCTGGGCATCCCCTCCAGGCATGGGAACGTGAGCTCTGCTTCCAGGTGGGAAGGAGAAATCACGCATTTAATATCAGAAGCCATTTCAAGTACCATGGATGGTGACTACGGTGGAGAGCGGACTCTAGCACGTCCTTACTGGGGATTTGCCCGGAGTGAGCCTGGAGTCCCTGGCTGCGTCCGAGGGGGATTTAATGCTGGACATGGGCCTCGGGGTCTCCCAGCTCCCGCGGGGTCCTGGCCCGGGCGGAGCAGCGGCTAGGCGGAGGACTTGGCGATGATCTTCTCCAACAGGCTCATCATGCGCTCCTGTAGCTGCAGGCCCTGCACCTGCAAGATGTTCTGCTGGTCCAGCACACGGCGCACCTCACGGCACGTCTCCTCCATGGCGCGGCTCAGCCGCCGCTGCTCGTCCAGCATGGCCTCCAGCAGCCGCAGCTTCTTCTTCTGGAAGTGGCCGCTCTGCACCTTACGCTTCTTCATGGGCCGCTCGTCCGACCTGGGAGGACAACACCGGTGCATGAACAGCAGGCATCAGGGCCCTACCTGACCCTCCCGGCCACCCCGCTGGACAAACCGGAAACTGAGGCCCCGGGGAGCCGGGCCACTGGCTCAGGGCCCCACCGTCCATGCACGTGAGGGGGCAGTGGGGGCCGCAGGCATTGCCACCCACTGAGACCCAATGACCCCAGTCACAGGACTTCTGAACCCCCACGATCTGGGGGGTAGGGGGCACCCTGCCATGAGAGCACCCCAAACCCACTGAGCTGGGCAGGCAGGTTGGCACAGGCACAATGGGGGTCTCAGGGGTGGAGATATGAGGAAGGCTGGGTGGGTGCGGATGCTGGGCAGTGTGGCTCCCCTGGGAAGCCAGAGGCCACCAGTCTGGGCCGGCCTTGGATAGGTGGAAAAACTCAGGTCCCAGAAGGAAGGGGCTGGGTCCTGGGCCCACTGCATCTCCCTGCCGCCTGGAATTGGGGGTAGGGAGGCAGAAGGACAGGCACCTAGAGGGCAGGCCTCCCTCCCCAGGGCGGTACCTCTGGCATAGGAGGTGAGGGCAGCCCAAGCCCGTGGCACTCCCCTGGGTGCTCTGCTGTGGGGTGGCGGGCACCCCTGGTCTAACCGGCCCCTGCTGGTGGGCGGGGAGCTGCCCAGTTCCAGCAGACCCCAAGGCCCTGCCCATCCCCCAGTCCGAGCCCTGTGCTTCTGAGCAGGACAGTGACCCAGCCAACCTCACGGGTGGGAGAGTGGAGCCCGGGGTCCCCACGACCCAGCCTTGGTGCAATGCCTGGCGCAGCTGTGAGTCTGGGAACTGGGCTCCATCCACAGAAACAATTGACCATAAATCTCAGGCTTCCCTGCTAATTTGGTCTGGCTGTCAGCAAAGGCATTTTTGTGTGGGGCCTTTGCTGAGAAATCCCCTCCAGGGAAGGGGCGCTGAACAAAACAAACCACAGCCCCAACACTGGAGGTGTCAGAATCGGGGAGACACCCCCAGAGATGGCTCCCGCCCCCTCCCCCGTCTGACAGACTTGAAGACGGGCTTGGGGGAGAGCCAGGGCCATGGCTCAAATCCATAGTCTTCCTGCTCTCTTCCCCAACTTACCAACTCCTATTCACCCTTCAAAGCCCACCCCAAATGTCCCTCTTCTGGCCCCGCCCCACACCACACAGGTGAGCGTCCTGCGTGCCTGTCTGTGGATATGTTGAGGGCAGGGTCACGCGGCAGGAGGGATGGGAGCTATCACAACCAGGCTATGAGGACACTCCGGAGGCTCAGTCAACACCGCCTCCCTGGTGCTGAGAGGACCAGCCGACCCAGCAAGGGCAGGGAGAAGGGGGACCCCAGGGTGGGGGGTCTGCTTGGGGGTGAGGGGAGCCCATGAGCCAGAAGCTGAGGGACAGGCAGGGAGGGCCACTGAGGTGGGGCGCTTGGTTTTTCTCCCTGTGCCCGTCTGTTCTCTCCTCTGACATGCCACCCTTGGAAAAGCTGATTTGTCCTCATTTTATAGAGGGAGACTGAGGCCCAGAGAGGTCAAGAACGTCCCACACAGCTACAAAGCGATGGAGCCAGGAGACAAACCCACTCTGCGGACAGGACGGCTTCCATAACCACCGGCCCTTCTGTACGAGCCGCCCTGTCTGAGGCTGTCGCGTCCGAGGCACCCCCGTCTGAGGCCACCCTGTCTGAGCCCCCACCCCACCCCCGTCTGAGGCCACCCTGAGGCTGTCGCATCTGAGGCCCCCCCATCTGAGGCTGCACCATCTGAGGTCCCCGCACCCTGTCTGAGACTGTCGAGTCTGAGGCCCCCCCAGCCCCTATCTAAGGCCACCCCATCTGAGGCCACCTTGTCTGAGGCTGTTGGGTCTGAGGGCCCTCTCCCCCATCTAAGGCTGTCCCTCCTGAGGCCACCCTGTCTGAGGCCTCTGTGTCTGGGGCCTCCCTGTGCCTGGAGAGACTCACACACCCCCTCACCCTTTGCAGCCAGCCAGGGAAGGCAGAGGACGCCACTGGCACAACAGCTGCCGCCCTCACCACTCGAAGCCCCTTGTCTGGACAGTGGGCTCCTGCCCCACTGCAGGTGGGGCAGGATAGGGGGGACACACACTACCTGAACTTAAGGGACAGTAAGCTGGAAGAGCTGTCGGAGCGATCGTCCTGGAAGCGGCCTTCGTAGGAGCACTGGTTATACGGTAAGTACAGAGGGGCGGACTTAGCAGACGGCGACAAGGACGCCTCGGTCTGGGATGTGGAAGGCCCCGGCTGCTGGCCGTCCGGCAGTCTGCCATCACAGGACTCGGGGACCTTGGCCAGAATCCTATCAATGGCTAGGTAATAGGGCCAGTCGGGCGGGACGGACTCGCTATCTGTCATGCATTTTAATTTCCTGAAACGAGAGACACAAGAGCCAAGGGTGAGAAACAGAGCTGCTCCCACCCGTCCCGCCCAGCCCTCGGCAGGGACACCGGGGCTCCGGGACCCAGGGGGCCACGTGGCGCAGGCAGGAGCCACTCTTGGCCAGGCAGGCCTCCCCAGAAAAATCGGCCAGGCTCCAGGGCCAAGGTGACCCTGCACTTAGAAAGAAGTCAGGCTCGGGACCTAAACGGCCTTGGACGTAAAAAAGCAGCACACGCCCCAAACGTGAATGAGGTCACGGGCAGTGCTGCAACCTTGGGCTGACTCCTATTGTTTCTGTCTTTGATTTGCTGTAGTTTCTACTCTCTGCCATGAACAAATACTGCTTCTAAGTAAGTCAGCCAGCCGTGGTACAATACTGTAACGTAATAAAGCATAAGACACACATGGAATAGAATATTATGATATAATAAAGTATGCAACACGAACAAAAAATATTGTAATATGATAAATGTGGTTTTCTAAAGAGGGTGCCTCAGGGAGTGAGAACCGCAAGAGTTGAGAGCACAGGCTTCAGTGTCCAACAGATCTGAGTCTGTCTCGGCCCCACGACTTTCCTGTGTGACCTTGGGCAGGTTCATTAACCTCTCTGAGCCTCAATTGTCCACATCGGTAAAATGTGGATGATCAAAATGAGCTCCTCACACGGCTGTGGGGAGGATTTAATGACAATGGCCAGGGCCTGACAAATAGCGAGCTGTCCAGATACCGTGTCGGCTGAAGGTGTCAGAAGGCAGCGGGGCTGGGCCTGGCGGGACCCCTTCTCATGCTGCCCGCCCTCCCGGTCCCCACGCGGACCTTGAGCCAAGGGTCCGCACAGCACAGCTCTGCCCGGTGTGTGCCTGAGCCGCTCGCGGGCCCTGTGTCCTGCCCTCCCGTGCAGATGGGCCCCGGGCCTAGGCCATCCTCTGGAGGCGACGAATGGGGACAAGGGGCTGCCGAGAGCTGGGCAGCCTCGGCCAGGCCAGAAAAGCAGCCACAGGGAGCGGGTGCGTGCTGTCTGCCCTGTAAGACCCAGCCTCAGCCTCTGGCTCCCCACGTTCCTACCCCAGGCTCCTCCCAAATGCGGGGAGGCCTTGGAGCTAGAGTGCCCTGTGGCTGGTGCCTCCTGTCTCCCAACATGGGTTCCCTACCAGGGTGTGGCCACTGGTCACTAGATGTAATGGGCTGGCCATCTGGACGAATGGCCCCCAACAAATAGGCCCAGCCAGAGGATGCGGTGGCCTGCGGCTCAGGGAGGCGAGCGGGGCCCGGCCACAGCAGGGGGTGGCGTTGGCAGCAGCACCCACCAAGTGGCATGTCCTCAGCAGACAGCCAGGAACCGGTCACGTGGGGAAGAGCTCGCCTGCTCCGTCTTCTCAGCCATGGGACTGCAGTCTGTCGCCCTGTAGGGCTGCGCAGATCCCAGACACAGGGGCGAGAGCGGCCTAGGCCCACACCCAGGCTCTGCCTGGGGCCCCCCTCCAGCCCCTCGGGAGCCCCAGCTCCTGTTCGGCTCCACTCAAGCCAGCCCACTACCTGGAGAAGGAGGAAAGGCCTGCCCCCAGCATGGGAGGCCCCTGAATGCTAACAAACCATGGGCCACAGGACCTGGCCACCCGCTCAGGCTTCCTTAGCCTGACAACCTTAATATATAAAGAGCTGCTAAGAAAAAATAAGAAAATCCTGGGCAGTGGATAGGCTCTCTCGGGGGACAGATAAAGAACTAGTCAAAGTGTCAGCCTGTTAATGAAGGCCTGCAGGAGCCGTGGGCAATCCCTCTCCCACTCGGGGCCTCAGCTTCCCCCAGGGTGAGGTGCCACAGTGCACAACGTGCGTCATAAACTGTGAAGTGCTGTGGACACATGCAGCTCTCACCCCTCCCCAGGAGTGGAGGCCCCAGATGCCCCTCTGCTGCACCCCCATCTCCTGTGGCCTCCCGGGACCCCATCCCCCGTCTCCAGGAGTGGAACTGAATCCTTCCCCTGAGAGTCAGGAGCTTTCAGGATTAATAATGAATAACCCGCCAGACACCAATCAGAGCCTGTGCATTAGAGTCAGACGGGAGGCTGGCCCCAGCCAGCAGCACCACTATGCACCCCCTACGCCCCCAGGCACTGAGGGGGCGTCTGCAGACACTCAGCCCTGGGCGCCCCAGGGGCCACAGCTGGCATCTAACGCCAATTCTCCAAGTGGCTCTGATGCCTTCTGGGGTCAGAAAAGGGCCTTTGCTTGGGGCCAGGCTCTGGACCTGCTCCTCCGAGGGCCATCAAAAGTTAGATGGATGTAACTGAAAACAGTTTTTTGGTTGTCAAGGGCCTGCGGAGCCCCTGCGCACCTCCAGGGGGGTCGTCTCCTCGCCTGTGGAGGGGGAAGTGTCCTCCCCACAGAGTGTGGCCCAAGGTGCCCGAGGCAACCCTGCAGGGCCTGGTCTGCACCCAGCCCTGCACACACCTCTGCTTCCTGCAGGGTGGCCACTAGGAGGATCAGGAGGCAGCCAGGCCTGGGACCAGCCGGACACCTGCCAGTCCTCCCAGGACACCGACAGGCCCAGCCCTGCCCAGGCCGCCCACAGGGCTCGGTGCACTCGGTGCCTCCCCCCATAGGCCCTAGTCCCTGCTTGACCTTCACCCCAGTCAGACCCATGACCTTCCCCCTGCCCATCACCCTCTGCAGACAGGTGTGGGCTGCACACATCCCGAGGTGCTAGGCACCCAGGCCACACTTGGCTCCCTGCCTGGATGCTGCACCGCTCAGGAGCCCCAGGTTTGGCCCTGACCCAGCAGGTCCCCTCAGGCTGTCCGGGAAGGGGAGGCCATCGCGGGATGGGCAGAGGCAGAGGTAGGGCCAGGCCTGGGTCCCCAACCCTTCCTTCCACAAACAAGGCCCCTCCCGTAGCGGAGCCCTCGTGGGCGCCCAGGGTTTCCCAGTCAGCCCTCACCTGCGCTCCGACCCTGAGGTCAGAACAGTGCTGCGCTCACAGCCGACTCAGTGGGCGCGGACACTGAGCGTCAGGACCAGGCAGGACCCACGGGCCAGGAGCTGACCCTCTTTCTTGCCTCGGGCCTCAGTTTCCCTGTCTGTACAGCTCCGCCACCCTGCTGCGGAGCTGAGCCTGGACTGGCGGCCTGCAGTCTCCTGGCCAAGGGGCGGCCAATGCAGGAGCCTGGGGGTCAGTGCTGAAGGTGCCCTTGGGGGCGGCCCTGGAAGAGGCCCCCAGGAGAGCCAGCTGGCGTCATTCCTAGTCCTGCCCTCACTGGCCTCAGTGTCCCCACCTCCCCAATGGGAGGCTGCACAAATGGTTTCTGAGGCCCCATGTTGCCCTGTGGGGGTCTGTCCATGGGGGGCCACAGGTGGGCCAGCCCCGTGGGGGCCTCACCGCCTTCCCAGGCTGGGCCGGGGGGCTGAGCACGTGAGCACGCGGCGGCCTACCTGTACTGGAAGGTCATGTTGGTGATTTTGATCTTGATCTCCTCGCCCAGCCGGCGCTCGCCGGTCATCTCCAGCAGCTTGCTGGCCATCTTCTCATACACCTTGGCATTGCGCTTGGTCTGCTTCAGTTCGTCGAAGAACTCCTCCCAGACGAGCATGAGGCCGCGCATCTCGGCGTCCGTCCAGTTGCGCGCCCGCCGGTGCTTCTCCGTCTGAGGAGACACAAGGTACCCGGGCACTTCGGCCGCTGCCATGCTGGGGGCACCTGCGGGGTTAAAGGACGGCGTTCAGAAAGGCCGGCTGCGGCCTGCACACTACGGCGGGCGGGCAGGAGCCCCGCTCCTGAAAGGCAGCTCCGCGCTCAAAATGGGGCCTACATCTGACAGGCAGGAATTTAGTTAAAAGCTTTTAAACGGGAAACGTCATTTTGATGTCATGTTTCCATAGCAACAGAGCAACTGCATAAGCTACAACAACAGAAACCTTTTAACTGAAAGCGCAGGAATCAGGGCCACCGTGACGGGCCATCAATATTGCAGAGGACGGGCCAGGCCCAAAACCGGCGGCCCAGGCTCCCAGCCCTGCCTCGGCCCCAGCCGGCCTCCAGGCTTGGCTGGCCCACGCCACGCGAAGCAAGGGGCCTGCCCTGGGCTGACCGGGCTCTCGAGGGGTGGAATCCAGGCCCCCACCTCAGCCCGGCCCTGGTTCACGCAGTCCGGGGGCCCAGGGAGAGCCCCAGATAGGGAGTTGGAGCGGAACAAAACGAGGAGACCAGGGCAGACAGAGAGGGGGACGGGGCGACTGAGAGGACGGACAGAGTGGGTGGGACGGGCAGGCATGGACACAGAGAGGAGGACAGACACAGGAGCAGACACCCCCACGGACATGCCAACACTCATGCCCCAGGGATGGCCCCACAGCATCCCCAGGCCACATGCTCGCGTTTGTTTTGTGATGGGAAATATAAATGTGTAAATGCCAGGCTGGGCGAGAGTGGGACTCTGGCCTGAGCAGGCCCAGCTCTGCGGGTGTCTCCCTACCTGCAGGGGGTTTGGCTGCTGGCCTGGCTGATGTGGGCTGCGCTGAGGAACCAGGACCAGTTTTGAGGCCAAATAGTACCTGGGAGCATGTGGGGGGTGTGCCCCTCTGCTCCAGGCAGCTCCCTGCAGCCCTGACCATCCTGCATTAGCGCCATCTGCACCCAGACCTGCCGCCTCCCCCCAGCTGGAGGGGTGCTCCTGTAGCTCCAGTGCCCCACAGGAAAGGGCTTGGTACAGGCTGGCTGTAAAGAAATGAGCACATGAGGGGACCAACCCTAAGAAATCCCCTTCCCTTCCCAGTAGGTCATCCAGACTTCGCCTTTGAACTCACTGGCAAACTCCTATTCGTTCTTCAAAACCCCGTTCTGATATTACCTCCTCTCTGAAGTCTTCCTGCTTGACTTTGGTCCTGCTCTTTTTCCCTCCTGCCAATTGGACCCACCTTGAGCCAGCCTGTTTTATTTTCTCCCTTCCAGCTGTGTGACCCTGGGTTAAGAACACTTGCAAAAGAGACAGTAATGAGGATTGAGCACTCTGAGTGCTAGGCACTGTTCTACGTCACATATTTGTGTTTTCTACTTTGATCGCCAAGGCACTCTTGTGGGGGAGGCTCACACTGTTGTTACTCCCATTTTACAGATGAAAAGCCTGAGGCTGGAAAGGTGAGGTCACCCTGTGGACCAGGAGCCAGGCCGGGCCAGGCTTTGAACCCAGGCAGGCTGCCTCAGAGCTGGGTCTGTCCCCGTGCTGGCCGGCAGGCTCCCTGTGAAGGACACTGTCACCTGTCCTCTGCACCCATGATGTAGCCAGTGCGAACTGCTGCGGCCTGGGCAAATGCTCCCCCGCTGTTCCCGGGGTCTGGCTGGGGTCCTTGGCTGTCGGACCCTAGCCCTCCCTCAGTGGGCCTCTGTCAGGGCTTGACTGAGGCTCATCCTGATGTCCTGAGGGCCAGGCCACCATCCAGCACTGGCCAGGCTGGGAGGGCACTGTGAGACAGTATGACTATAATGGGGGGGTGAGCAAAGGTGGGCTTGAGAGTGAGGCTAGGGAAGCTCCTCCCCCCCACTTCAGCGGGGCTTAGGGACAGTCCAGGGGACAGGCGACCAGAGCAGGGGAGCCTGTAGGGACTGCAGAGAGCAAGGGCCACCTAAAGGCATCAGCATTCGGAAGTTAAAAGATGAAACTCCAGCAAGCGGTCCATTAGCATGAACCCACATCACCTGCTGGACAGGCCCTGATGGCCACGTGGAGCCCAGCGCCCCCGCCAGACGCATGGCACCCCCAGTAATCCTGCCAGGCATCCTCAGGGCTCTGGTGGTGGCCTGAACTCAGGGAGGTGCCTGGGATGGGCTGGCAGCTGGGGCGCCCTCCTCCCTGGTCAGAGCTAGAAACGCAGTGGGACAGGGCACCAGGGGCACGTGTGGGTCAAGGCCTGGCCTTGTGGAAAACTTCCTCTCTGGGCCTCAGGGGTCACTTGGGAACACGGGGATACCACCGCCTGGCTGTGCAGCACCCCTGTACTCCTTCAGGCCTGGGTGCTTGGCAGAGCACTCAGGAGTGTTTGCAGAGCAAATGAGTGGCTGGAAGGTGCACCTCCTCCAGGAAGCCCCCGCTCCTTACATAAGGATGTGACCCTCTCAGGTGGCAGTGGTGCTGTCTCTCGCCCCACCTGAGGACCTTCCTCACCACACCTCTCAGCACCCCAGGTTGGGGGGCCCAGAGGGGTGCAGGCAGAGCCCGGCCTTGGAGTAGAGGCTGGATGCTGGCCTGGCTGGGGCTGGTGGGTTATCGTCAGGACAAGCTGCCACCCCAGGGTTCCCAGCCTGGGTAATGCCAGGACAGCCAGGCCCACTGCCCTGAGGGGCAGCAGCTGGCCCATGGGGTGTCACTTCCTGTGTTCTGGGCCTGAGACCCACGTGGGTTCCAGAGAGGCACCTACACCTCCTGTTTGCCCTCCAGCTGGCATGTCCAGGGAGTCGGGGTAAACGTTGGACTCCAACTGTCTCTTCTCAGGTTTCGGCAGACGCCAGAAGCCCCTGGAGAGGAGGCCCCCTGGGGGCGGTTCCCGAAGCAGAGTCCTCATGTTGGGTTCCCAGAAACAAGGAGCTGGGTGTGTGTGCGGAGGGCCAAGCACCCAGCTGTCCCGACCCGGGGGGGGGGCCTGTCTGTCCTCTGCTGCGGAGGCGGCCCGTACCTTGGCACAGCTGCATGATCTGCTGGGACTCTCCGCGTATGTGGGAAGGGGAGGCAGAGGGCTGGGTGCAGGGCAAAGGGGCAGTCAGGCCGCGGTGGGCGAGATCCTGGGGGACACCTGTGCTCAGGCGAGGCCCAGGCCCTTCAGGCCTCAGTCTTCCTATAAACCAGCGCTGGGTCCATGCGGTCCTTAGGAGTGCCCGGCCAGCCCGGCCTGGCAGGCCCACGTGGGAGCTCAGGGCAGGAAGGGGGCAGCCCCTCGAGGGGTCCAAGCAGCGGTGATTGGGGCCCACGGCAGTGGGTAGGGGAGTTTGGTGGTGGAACAGCTCCCAGCCTGGGTAAAGGGAGGAGAGCACACCAGGTGTTGGGAGTGTATGGACGCTGGGGGCCAGAGACTAGCGCAGGGCAGCACGTGGGAGGCGGGGCCTGCGGGCCCTGCTGACACCATCGCCCTTTCCAGTGTGCACCAGGAGCCTAGGCCTAGCCAGTGGCTCCTCCGGCCCCCACTCCCCATGCAAGGTGAAGGCCTGGGAACCTCAGGGCCCCGACAGGACATGTCTGGGACAGGCTGAGGCCATCTGGGTGGCCCCTGAGTTTCTTGCTTGGGAGGCCAGTGGACGAGCCATCCAGCCACATGGGGGAGCCTGACTGTAGAGGCCCAAGCCCGTGGGAACCTCACGAGTTGCTCGTAGTTTCCTAAACGTCTTGGTGACTCCACAAACCGGGCTACCCGCTGTGCCTCTAGGCCCGGCAGAACACCGCCTCCAGCAGTGCTCGGACCCCCCGCCAGGTTGCCGAGGGCCAAGGTGCAGGCCAGTCCTGGGCACACCCCCCACGCCCCCAGAGCTCTAGGGTCTCAGGTCAAAAGCAGGGATTTCCTCTGAGAAAAGCGGGGTCTCGCCCTCTCCTGAGGACCCCTCTGCCATGGTGGGTAAGCAGAGGACGTAAGGCAGACAAGCCCAATCACACCAGGGCTCTTTCTGGAATGACAGGTAGACCAGGTGTGCTCAGGTGCGCCAGCCAGGGTCTGGCTGTCCAGGTGTGGCCCAGGGAGGGGACTAGAGCTTAGGTAGCTCTGAAGGGTGAGGCCATGGGGCCCTGGAGTTGTATCACAGAGGAAACAAATTTAGGTGAAGTCACTCCTATCGAATGTTTAGAGCAACTGAGATGAGACCTGAGGCTAATGTGGCCTGTCCCCATGGCCCTGACAGCCAATGCTGTCACCATCCCTGTGCAGAGAAGGGAGTCCTATGCCTCAGGAGGGCAGGGGGCACAGAGCTGTCACAAAGCCTCAGGGAAGCCCATGTGCAGTCACAGCACTGAGACCCAAGGGCAGGGCCAGGCAGTCCACACTTGTCTCCAGGCCCCCACTGCGGTGCTACTGGGGGACTGCCCTGTGGAAGGACTGGGTGGAACACTCCCACCATATGAGCGGAACCCACAGGACTTCGGTGGGCATTTCTGAAGTACCTGCCTGAGCAGCCCATAGCCTAGAATCGTCTCTGCAGATTGGTGGTAAACACCTGCACCCTGAGTTTACCATGGCACCGACCACCCAAGCCCCCAGGGAGGGGCTCACCAGAGCTAAGAAGGACGTGCCCTGTAGCTGGGCAGACTTCCAGAGGAGCTGGACTCTTGGGTGACAAGGACTTGCAAGCAAAATGGGCAGGGCACACACCACCACACACCGCAGCCCAGGAGCACGGGTGCCAACGGCCAATGAGGCGAAGGGGCGCGCCAGGCTGCGGGGTGGGGGGTTGGGGGGAGGGGTGGTGAGGGGTGGATCAAAAGCCGGGTCACGGCCCTGCTGAGCACTCTAGTCCTGGCCCAGCCCCTACCGCCCCCCAGGGCTCTGGGCTGAATGTAGAAGTAGACTCAGCGCCAAACATGTGGCCCCGGTGTAACTGGATGATGTCGCTTAACCAGCGTGGCTCTGCAGCCGTGTCTGCTGAGCAGAAGGATCCCCGCACTGCTGCTGTCTGTGGGCAGTGACAGGGTCTCCCCTCGGAGGTGATGGCGTGTGTGGCGCAGTGGCAGCCTCTGCTCCCCCAGCAGGGTGTAGGTCCTCGAAGCAAAGCAGACCTCGCACAGCAGTTCACCGTTTAATTCCTTTCCTTTAATTCAGATGTACAAAGTTTGCATCCGTTTCAAAACCGTAAACATACATCTCACGTCAGTCCTCTCTCTCCCCTGTTCACAAGCGGACAGTCAGGTGTGGCCTAGGCTCCGGGACGCACCCATCACAGCCCTGCTGGCTCGCAGCTCGGTGGGGACCCGGTGGTGGTGCAGCGTGAGCTCGAACCCCGCTGACAGCCACTCTGCCGCAGCCCTGCTTAGCTCAGAGCCAAATCACTTGCGGCAGGTCCCTGAGGTGCGGGGCGCCCCCTGGTGTGAAGGGGGGTGGCAGTGGTTATCCAGAGCCAGACGCTCACAGCAGCACTCAGGGGGTGGGGGTTCCTTCAACTGCATTAGTGACAGGCGCACAGGGGAGCGTGGCCCCTGAACCTTCCGGGACACCTTCAGTTGTCACTGCCCTCTGAGTGGCCCCTCCCTGCCGAGCACGTGTGTGGCCACAGCCGGGCAGTGTGGGAGGTCCTCCTCTCCAACGACCCAGCCCCAGCTTCCCAGCCGGAGACTGTCACAGCTGTTCTCCGGGTCCCACCCATGCCCTCTGGACAGAACAAGTCCAGTGTCACCCAGGGTGGTACACGGTTTCGGGCACTCATGCCAGAGGGAGGGCTGGAGCGCGACGGCACATGCTAGGAAGGATGCTCACGGGTCAAGAAGCTAGTTCCAGTCCCCCCAAATCAGAGCGCCAAGCCCACGCAGCCCTGGCAACTGAGGGCAGCGGGGCCTGCGAGGCAGCCGGCAGTCATTGCCGTTCAGGGCCTGACCCTCGGAACCGACAGCATGGCTCATCTCAGCTCCAGGAGAAGCTGCCCATGGCAGCAAGGCGTGCCTGAGTGTGGTGGGGGTCCTTAGGGCGGGGCCTTCTCTATGCTACATTCTGGGTCTGGAGTGTGTCAGTGTCATCCTTTCCTCCTGACAGGACATAGCTGCTAACAAAAGTGAGAGAAAACAGTAGTAAAGGGCACTTGGCGACTGGGAGGGCCCCCTGCACACACTGGGTGGGGCCAGCAGCAGGCGGGGCCAGCAGCGGGCGGGGCACGTGGCTGGAGAGGACTCCCTTAAGTGCATTGCAAAACACATGTACCCTGGTTTCATTCAAATCTTTCCTGATATTACCAGAAGGAAAACAAAACAACCCCCTCCCCCCCAAAAAACCCTGACAAAAATCAAATTAATGATATCTTCAACAAATTTGGATTGAGGATATGATTGGTACCTGCCAGACGATTAGGAACATAAAGTCTTAATCCCTTCCTCAAAGTTGACAAGGGGGCCTAGTCCTCAGTGGGATTTTAATGAGCAATGACCCCCACTCTTAGACGTCCCAGTCACACAGCCAACTCCATGTGGCAGGTCTAAGAAAAGCCAGCTTCTACAAAGAGCTCACGGCCATTTCTAGAGGCCTTGCATATTTGTATCTTGAGATATACAGATAATTGTGGACATGTGCACACACATACGTACACCCTTATCCAGGGGTACAGTAACTCCACCCAGAAATGCATACCCATCTCTGGAGCACACAGGCATGTCTTTGGCCAGATCCGGGCTCCAAGACCCCTTGTTAAGAACTGATTGTTTAAATCACGTCGTAAACAAGGGAAGCCCAGTGACAGGAACCCTAAGGGGAAGGCCCCAAAACCTACATTCAGTGCTCTTCACAAGTGTCAACACCTAACCAGGAACACCAGCGGCCGGTGGTGCACCATCTCAGAGCTGCTGGAATCTCAGGGGGGCAGGGAGGGGGCAGCACGTCCTGAGAGCTCCCTGTGTTCACAAACATGCTCACAGGCATTTTAGGGGAGAAGCTAGGATGAGAAACGGGGGCCCCAAGAGAGCAGGGTCAATGCTGACTTTCTTCCTTCTTGTTAAAACCCAGCAGAGCCCTGAGGGCCTGCTCAGGCATCTGACCCACTTCCACCCTCAAGCCTGGTTCTGCTGGGTCTCTGCGGGGGGCTGGCGGGAAAAGCCAAGGGCTGCTCTAGGGAGGAGCCCCACAGCCTCTCCACACATGTGTGGGCAGTGGGCAAACCCTGAACCTCAGCTGGCCCCTGAGCGAGTAGGGCAGCTCAGGTCAGCTCGCTGGCTGTGCACAGCGGTGAGGTGTCAGGCTCTCACGCACAGATGGGAGGGTAACTAATCAAGTAGCAAAAGGCTGCTCCTCCTTTGCAGACTCCCGAAACAGCTGCAAACTTATCTCCACTTACCACATGAACTACCCCAAACCCTGACTGCACTTGAACTGATGACAAAACGGCCAACCTGCCACTGGGAACCAAGGAGGCAGAGCACGCACAGCCCCGTGGTCCATGGTGAGCAGAGCCCCACCCCTAAGCTCCAAGCTCCTGGACCAAGGCCAGCCCGGCCGTCCAGGCCTCATTTGCATCTGATGGTTTGATTGCTTTGGGCCTGAGCGAGAAGCCACACGGAGGGGCATGGGCTGGCCAGTCACTGCCCGGCCCATCTCATTCCTGCCCCGTCACTGGCCCAGTGGGCACAGACCTGGCTGTCCTGGGCTGAAAGGAGGCCTGGCGCAGCAGCTGAGTGGAAAGGGGGCCGAGGAGTGCTGGGGTCTTTCTCCAACAGTTGCCAAGACACCGAGCTTTGCTCTGGACCAAGAGGTCCGGAAGAATGTGGCTCAGTTACACCTTCAAGGCGGCTGGGCCAGGCACGCACGAGGGCCCACGGGGGAAGCAGACCCCTGTACCGCTGCCAGCCCCAGGGCAGACGGCAGCTCAAAGCCAGCTCTGAACGGGAGCCAGAGGACGTCAGGGCGGTGGCTCTGGAAAGGACAGAGGCTGCTGGTCCGCTAAGTGCCAGGGAGGCCGCCCCTCACTGCTGGTGCCTCAGGAAGAGGTTACTGCGGGCAGAGGTGCCCCCTGGACACAGGACAGCTGAGTGGGCACTTTGTCAATCCTTCAAGGGGCCGGACAGAGAATTCCTGATACAGACATCTGAAATCAACACTTCTCTACATTCTAAAGGATGTGAATGCATAAAAAAGGGTGGCGCATGCCTGAAATGTCATCAGCGTGTTAAGGAGGCGTTAGGTGTTAGGTGAGGGGCTGCTGGACACGGGAGAGGGACGGGCTGTCTGCATCCACGGAGGCTGTGGCATGCAGCACAGACTTTACACGGCATAGCAAGTACCTTAAAATTAATCTCTTTACTGATACAATTCAATTTTAAATCCTGAGAAGAAAACAGACAAAGGGAAGTATGGCGCAGGGTGTGCTCCCAGCAGCCCTGCCCAGCACACGCTGCCAGGAGCAGGGCCACAACCCCAGGCTTCCTGGGCCGCGCTGGGGGACGCGGCAGGCTCTCAAAGCCTGATGGCGTCACCTCTGCCTGAGACAGCAGGGGGGCTGATGGCCAACCTGCAAGAGCAGAGGGCGTGTGTCCCAGACACAGAGCAGCTGTACCCTGGTGACGAGGACCAGGCTGGACGTTAGGAGGAAGAGGAACAGCGGGCTAACTGGCGGGTAACACTAGTTACAGCAGAAGGGCCAGCATCGCAGCTGTCCGTGCTCCCTGGAAGGACTCAGGCTCACCCCCACGTTACTGCATACATGCCCCGTGCGCAGCCCCACGGCGGCAGCGACAGTGCATCTGCCTGCAGAGACGGGCGCCACCCGCGGCTGCCCGTGCGGTGCTCAGCACGCCGCAACCTTGTGGACGTTCTGCAAACAAGCCAGCAGTCGGTGGTATGGGTTTCCCGGGGCCGCCACCACCTCAAACACGGACTGGAAGGCGCGGCGGTCCAGCTCCTCCTCTGCCTGGTGTCGGTAGAAGTCCGTGGCCACCAGGCAGAAGAGGTTAACGTCCACGTGTTCCATCTTGCCCACCCTGCTGATGACGTGGGGAAGGCTGGCAGCGGAGTTAAGGAGCAAGGCTACAAGCGAGGGGAGAACGGCCTCCCTGTCCTCACCTGCCACAGGGCTACAAACGGGCCCAGGGCGTTGCACCAGCCGCCTGGAGCAGACAGCAGACCCGGGCTGCACCACCGGCAGCCGCCTCCCACCAAGGCTCCTGCAGCCAAGTCTGCAACAGCTCCCAGGACGCTGCCCCTCTCTGGCTGGAGGGCACCTCTCGGCAGCACTTACCTGGCCTAGCTCCCTGAGAGGTGCCGGCGGCTGCTGCTCCTGTGAGCCCTGCTCCCGCGAGTGAGGGCAGAGCCATGGCCGCCCTGCCCGGGCCTCCCAGGCACGCTGGGTGAGGCCTGCTGTCAGCACCAGGACAGCCGTCTGCTCAGAGGCTCTGTGGTCTGTCTTGGGGGGAGGCTGCCAAAAGGGGGTGGGCCTTGGATCTTCATTAAGCCTTTCCCCGAGGGGACGACACAGGGCACAGTGACAGAGGATAATGAGAAGCAGCATCGAAGACAGACCCAGATGCACAGAACCCGCGAATGTGCAGGGACCCTGGCCCTCCCGTCTGAGCCCCAGCCCTTGGTTGGAGGTGAACATGCTGTTTTGTTTCCTTGTCAACGGTTCATTCTCCAAGGTAAATGTCACCTTGACATCTGGGGTTTTGCAGAGGTCAGGTTTAGAAACACACACAAAACATCTCCCCAGATGTTGACAGAGGAACATGTGGGGGCTGCTCCGCCAGCCCGGCCAGGACCCTGGGAAGGATACATCGCCGAGACCCACGGGCTGGTGGACGCACTGACGAAGAAGCAGGAGAGGCTCCACACGGCCATCGCGACCGGGGTCCGCTGCGTGAAGTTGGACAGCGACAGCATGACCCAGTCCCGGACCATGGACGACTGCCCCGTGCTGTGCAAAGTCTGGAAAACCTGACAAGAGGGGCCCGGAGCGTCAGGGGCGCAGGCAGCCCGGGGAGAGGGAAACACAACCGTTCACAGGGGAGGAAGCGGGCCCGTGACAACGCCACTGTGAGAGGCAGAGCCGGGAGTCGGGGCGGCCCACCCCAGGCGCTCCCTCGCCCCACCCCACCCCCACACCTTATACACCACGGTGGCCATGAACTGCGGGTAGGGCTGCTGGTTAGATAGAAATTCTCCAATGACTTTGTTCATGACGTCTTGCGGCGGGAAGAAGTCATCTAAAAACTGAGGCAGGATCCGTGCCACCACTCTGGCCTCACAGGGAAACCCCTTCCTGATCCTAAAAGAAGGGGTCACAGTCAGAGCCCCGCCTGCCCCCTGCAGCCCTCCCCCACCCCTGCCCCGGGACTGTCAGGGCTTTCCAGGCAGGTCATGAGCTGGGCTCCTAGAATATTAACTGGGAGACCAAAAGGAAACTCCGTCTTCTGTTGACCTCAACAGTGACTGCAGATGGATATGCAGGCTTGGGGCCCCCCACCCATGTGGGAGCCAACAATCCCCCCAAAAGGGGTTTTAAGGTTGTGTACAGTATTCAGCAGAAAAGGTCTGGGTGGTGACACTGAAGCAGAGATTTAAAAGCTCGCAGTGAAAATACTGTCCTGTGACATTCTCCTCTCCACGCCCGAGCACTCCGCACGCGGCCTTCTCGCCGCCATGTCCTGACGCTGGAGCACTGCTGTCAGCTTTTCCCTCTGTTCTACCCTGGACCCAGGAGCCCCTGCTGGCTCCTCCCTCACAGACCCCAGAGTGCATGAGCAGGGTCCCTCTGGATGCTGGCAGACAGCCCTCAGGCCACCCTAGCACACATGTGAAACAGCTGGATCTAACTGAAAAGCACCAGAAGTGACCCAGAAACCAGGCCTATTCCTCCTCCCAGGTGTGGCCACATCTATCTGCCTGCAGACGCCAGCTGCTGCCCAGCACCCAGGATTGACAGTGCCCTTCTGCTGAAAAGCCCAGTGCCCATCTAGTGCCTGCAGAGTGGTCACGCTGAATGTCTGCACTGCAGCTGCTCAAGTTTTCCTTTGTAACATTAGCCCTGGAATGGAAGCCTCGGGGAGGCAGGCGCCTGGGCGTGCTCCTTGCCCACCATCCGGCTGCCTGGCAGACGACTGTGTGTAACAGAGGAAGCCCAACTGTAAACGTTCATTTTAAATTTCAACGTGGAAACAGAGCGCACCTGCTCAGCTTCCAGAAGCTTCCAGAACACTTCCTCTGGCCAGAGTTCACAGAGGGGCTTGCTCAGTGTGCTCTTGTGAGAATGCAAATACCCCACTGCCCCTGACAGAGCTGATGGGAGATGGCGGCTGAACAGTGTAGAGCTGGCCTCCCCGAGGCCACACGCCATGTTGCCTGCGCTGAGGCCTGGGTGAAAGCCGGGGCCCCGTCCTACAGAAGACGACCCAGGAGGCGCCTGGCCCACCGTCCAGAACAGGCAGGCTGAGCCGCACTCATCCAGGGGGGAGGTGGCGCTGGTCTCGGCTCTGAGATGCGAGTTAGCTGGGTGTACGGACCGCGTCCTGAGGCTGCTCTGATGTTATGCTGGCCCCTGGCCCCTGGCCCTGGAGGGTACCCCGTGGGACAGGGGGACTCCTCTCCCCAAAGGCAGCAAAGCAGTGCCTGACGTTTTTGTTCCCACTCAGGGCTCCATGTCCAACTCCCAGGCGTCTCACTCATGTGACCCTCCCGACACCCACACCACCTTTGGGTGGACACAGGGGCGGCCTTGGAGCCGGTCAACTCCAAACTTCTGGGTGCTGAAGGCGAAGGACCGCCCACTCCACGGAGCCCTGGGCGGGAAGCCCCGGGACCACAGCACAGGGAGGAGAGCAGATGTGCATGAAGGCAGCTGCAGGCAGCTCAGGGCAAAGGCAGGCTTCCCCTCTTACCTGTCGAAAAGAACAGACACCCGCTCCATGGCCACGATCACGGACTCGCTGTCAGGAGCAGCCGGGCTGGGGTCAGAAGTTCTGCCCGGGCTGACTTTCTCCTTTCCTGAAACGAGTCGTTCATGACTGTAACTTTGTAGGACTGGAAGGCTTTGTAGAGAGTACCCTGAACTCACACAGGAGACATCCTCTGAAACCAGGGTGTGTGAGTCCCTGGCTGCCCAGGGCCCAGCCCAGCCAGCTGCACAGGATGCAGTGGTCAGTCTGCAGACCTGCTCCCCAGGTATGGTTCAAACACCAGCACAGTGGTGTGACCTGGTCACCCCTTCTCCAGGGTCTAGAATCTCCTTGAGAACTAGAGGGGGCCTGTGGTCCGCATCCTAAAAGTGAAGGAGACCCGTATGGTCTGGAGCTTGGATCCAGTGAGCCTGGGCCAGCCCCGCCCCCACTGCTCACCTGTGTACATGCAGGTGAGCATCAGGCCCAGGGCCGCCATGGCCCGGTGTGGGCTGTGCACATTCACTCTGTCCACGCTCAGCTTGACCAGGGACTCTGTGTCTAGCCGGGAGAGCTGCTCAGAGAGCAGGAGGCGCTCTAGGCCCCTCAGGACGCAGTGGTAAATGATGGACGGAGTGGACTCCTCACTGCCAGACAGCATCACCCCGCACATCTGGAGAAGAGGAAGCCTTCTAAGTCACAATGGCCTCCTGCCACTCACGCTTCTTCCCAGATCACCACCCAGCAATGCCATCACCCCTGGCGGCCAAGAGCACAGCACGGGCCCTGCTCCTGTTCCGGGGAAGATGCCCGGCCGCTCACCTGTATCACCGATGCAGAGAACTCGGGACCCACGTCCAGAGGGTAGTTCTCAATCAGGTAGAAGGCGGTGGCACACATCAGCAGCACGTGCTGCTGGCTATGAACGTTCACGCAGCTGCAAACACGAGGCGACAGCTACGCTTAGCCCCAAGCAGGTTGCTCCCTTCTGATGCTGTGTGCTGTCCTCGCGTCCCAGTGACCTAAGCCAGCGTCCCCATGGGCAGGTGCCTGCCCGGGTTCCCACTGTCCCTGCCTGTGCTCTGGCCAGGGTCTGAAGCAGCTTGGACATGTGTCCATCGCTCTTCTCACAGCCCACTCACTCTAAGGCCCCGCCCCGGCCATGGCCAGCCCCACTCACTGGGCTATGCCCTTGAGGTTGGACAGGAGATAGTCGCTGACAACCGGGATGAGCTGCTTTGCAGTGTCGTCCAGGAGGTCACACTCCAGCACATAGAGGACGCCGTGCAGGGCCCCGATCTTGCTGGGCAGGTGGCTGCTCCTGAGTGTACACTCCAGCAGTCGGCTGACTGGTTCTGCCACGGCCTTGTCCTAGAGCACAGGCACAAGCAGAGGCAGGCCAACGATGACACAGGAGAGGTCGAGGAGGGCTGAGCTCACGGTGCTGAGGAGCTCGCACAGCAGGCCTGACTGCCCTGGGAGGCGCCTGCGTGCAGGGCTGGCCCTGGGCTGGTGACACGAACCTGGGCGTCGGGAGTGTCCCCAGCACCCTAACTGATAAGAGCGGCTCCCTGTGCCTCACCTGTGTGCTGACACCCCTCTCCTCCTGGAGGCCTGGGGTTTGGGATGTGCCAGCCAGAGGGGCCTACGGGGCCAGCCCCCCAGTGAAAACCCAGGCTCTGAGTCTCTGAGGAACCTCCCTGTGGGCAAACACCCCACACGTGTTGTCACGAGTTGCTGGGGGACTTGAGCGCGTCCGTGCGACTCTGGGAGAGGTTCTGGAAGCTGAGGCTGGTTTCCTCTGGATTTTGCCCTGCGTGCCTTCTCCCTTCACTGACTCATGTTTTGTATCATAAATCTTAGCCAAGAGAATAGGTGAGGCCTGTGCCACTCCTAGCAAACTCCCGGGTGGTCTTCGCGACCCTGACCACCGTCCATACAACATGGTGTCCACTTTACTTAGCATCCTCAACACGAGGTAAGTGGGAACCTAAACACTGAGGTCTTCAGAGAGGGCCCAGTGCAGAGCTGGGGCAACACTTCAGACCACAGCACCCAGGGAAAGGCGACCCCTGCTGGCTGAGCCCTCATCGCGTTCTGCGGAAGAAACAAGAAGCTGTCTGCCCACACGGCCCCCACGGAGCTCTGTTCCTGTGGTCGCCAATAAGGGCGACACTCCTTGCTCAGGGCTTCCTTCTCCTCCTCCTGCCCAACACCCACAGACTGCGGACACCTCCCCAGGAACCGCTCCCACCCGTGCCTCCTGTCCCCAGCTCTGAAAACACCAGCAGGGCTGCGGGGAGTGGGCTGACCTCACAACACTGGGCACATGTCTCAGGAGGAAAAGACACCGGGAATCTGCCACCTGCACCAGGACACACAGACGACACTCACAAAAAGCCATCCTAGGGACAGCACCCGCACACGTCAGGACTGGGGAGTCCGAATGTACCATCTTGCCTAAAGATCTTCTTAACAAACGATTATGACTTGTTTGATTTACTGAGAACACAACGCTTGCCTGGGGGATGTGGGCCTGAGCACAAACACACAATGACGATGAAAGTGAACCCAGCAGCTAAAACTCCCCACAAAGACAAAAGGACCCCTTCAAGCCTAGCTGCTTCTTCACGGTCTCTCAACACCCACAGGGCGCGTGCTTTGAAGAGCTCACAGGAGGAGAGCCCGTGGGCTCATTGTTTCTGCTCCCTGGATGGTGGCTCCAGGGCTGAAGGCCACCCAGGACGGGGACGCAGTCAGGAAGGGGCGAAGAGTGAGGGCTCCGGTCGCATTCACCTCTGCCCTGTCCTGTGTGACCAGGAGCACGACGGCTCCCACCCTGGACACGGCCTCCTGGGGCGGAGACGGGAACAGCAGGTCCCCCCCGGTCAGACTATGGAGGGGACCATGTGGGGTGCAGGAGGAAAAGCTGCCCTACAGATGTGTGGCCCATGGCTACTGTCACCATTAGGACAGACAGGACTGAGAACAGAACACGGGGGGAGGTGGGCCAGGGCAGGCAGCGTCACACCACTCACTAGTGGTCCCGAACGTGTGGCACATGGGAGCCACTCGTGTCTGTGAACCAATGAGTCTCCGCTGCCCCCATGAAGATGGGGTCCAGGAGACGCTGAGTCAGAATCGCCGGCTACTGGCTAACGTGACATGGCCAGGAGCGGCCAGTACTGGGCAGGTGGCGTCAGGTGCTGCGCTCCCGGTCCACTCTAGCACACGGCGGGGCCCACACGGAAGTACACTCATGTGTCTATGTGAGGTCTGAGGTCTGCTTAGCAGATACCACGCAGTGATGTCCCCACAGCAAGCGGGGTGGTGCTGGCTCAGACCTGACCAACTAGACGCACAGCAAGAAAGAACTCAAAAGAAGGCCCCATCTGCTCTTACGCTCCCCACACTCTGGGGTGGAAACAGGGCTACTGTGAGAGCAGTCCCCAGGAGGGGGGCCCTGCTGACGGAAGCATGTCAGGGGAGCGCGGGCGCCGCGGGGTGATTGTGGAGGCGTCAGCCACATCACCCCACACACACACCTGAGCTCCTGGGGCATGAGCCACCACGACGGCCTCACGAACACGGGGGTCTAGGAGCCCCACACCAGGCATGCCCACCACAGCACGCTTCACGCTGGCATCCGTGGAGAAGTGCCCATGTGAACTGAGCCCTGCGACATGTCACACTTGCTGTGAAGTTCAGGATGACGAGGCTGACATGGCCCCATGACACTGGGCCACCACCCCTCACTTACCATCCCAAGGACGGCGGCGGCCTTACAGGTGGCAGGCACCAGATACTGGAGCAGAATCTCGTCTTCGGAAGGGTGCACCCTCCGCAGCTCGGTCAGCGTCAGGTACATCATCTCAAACTGGCTGCGTTCGGTGAACAAGTCTGAGACCACGAGAAGCTAGAGACAGACAGGAGGACAGAAGCAGAGAGTCCCGCGATCAGGAAAGCAAGCAACACAGTCCAAATCGTATGTTCTCACAGCCAAGGGACAATAAAGGGCGGGAATGCACACAAGCCCTGACTGGCAAAAGCAACTGGCAAACACCTAAAGACCTAAAACACAGTAAAAACACAAACGTGAGGACGAACTGGTCAGCGACGGCTTCCTCCAGATGCCTCTGTGCACACATGCTGCAGACCGGATGCACCGGGACCTGTCACAACCCGGGTGGGACGCGCACACAGCCGTCACCACGGACAAGCCCACATCTGCTCTGTTGCAAAACCCCAGGCCCTTCTCACAGTGTTGGGGGCCAGGCTCTCAAGAGACCCAGGACAGAAAAGCTGTTTCACAAATAATACATGCTTGGCCAACGATATTTTGTTTCCCCAAAACGTTCGGTTCTCTAGTGTTCTGTTCTTCACGTTCCATCTAAAAAAGAACATGAGGGGCCGGCCGGGTAGTACAGTTGATTAAGAGCATGAGCTCTGAGCAACAGGGTCACTGGTTCGATTCCCACATGGGCCAGTGAGCTGCGCCGGAGCTGAGCTGCTGCTAAGCTGCCAATAGGTGGCAGGATGGCTCAGCTGGTGAGAGCATGTGCTCCTAACAACAAGGTTGCCAGTTTGAGTCCTCCATGGGATGGTGGGCTATGTCCCCCACAACTAAGACTGGACACAGTACCTTGAGCTGAGCAGCCACTCAGCTGGTGAGAGAGCGTGCTCTTAACAACAAGGTTGCCGATTTGACTCACACATGAGATGGTGGGCTGTGCCCTGCCCCCTGCAACTAGATTGAAAGCGGCGACTGGACTTTGAGCTGAGCTGCACCCTCCGCAACTAAGATTGAAGGACAACAACTTGACTTGGAGCTAATGGGTCCTGGAAAAACACAATGTTCCCCTTCCCCAATTCCCCAATAAAATCTTTAAAAAAACAAAAACAAAACAACATATATATATATATATATATATATATATATATATATATATATATATATATATATATATATATATATATATATATATATATATATATATATATATATATATATATATATATTCTAAATAAATAAATAAAAAGGAATGTGAGTGAGGTGAGATGGCCCTTGCTCTCTGGGAGCCTGTGGGAAGGTGAGGTCAGCCCTTCTCAAGGGCCACAGGTGAGCCCACAAGTCGTCTGAATCAGCAGTTCTTACACACAGGACACCTGGAGTTCAAAGTTGAAACTAGTTCCATAATCAAGGACGACCTGTGATTATTCGCTGTTCATTCCTGTTCTCTTCAAACTGTGTACTGCTGTTTTCCAGAACTTACCTGATAGTAACAGCAGGGCAGCTATGAGAGTCCAGCTGCTCTCTACTAAATCAGTCATTGAAGAAATTTGCAAAAGTGTAAAATAAGGCTCTTCTCACCAATTCAAAAAATTACTTTAAAATAAAAAATGATCATAGTTATTTTAAAACGGATTAATAAGTTCTTTTTTAATGTAAGACCTTTACTAATGGTGCTTAAAGTTTGACAGTTTTTAAAATATCAAGTTGTAAACTTTTATTACAAATAAAAAATAAAGTTCTTAAAAATCTCAACTTGACCAAATATGAAACAATTTAAAAACCTTTAAAGCCAAGCTTAAAAAAATAAACACACTCGTCATTACTAAAAAGACATGTCTGGGGACGGCCGAGTGGCGCATTGGTTAAGAACTGGCTTGGGATGCCAGAGGGCCCCGGTTTGGATCCCACATGTGAGGGCCAGTGACGATGCCTTCTAAAAAAAAAAGTAAAAAGACATGTCTGTAGGTAAAAATAATAAAAATCTCATGCTGCAGAGAAAATGTAGAGGTTCTGGTTATCTAGTCATCGGGCAGAGAGCTAAGCGCTAAAAGGTCTTGGCTCCCCCCTCCTACTGGAATTCCTACTCGCCTCTTCCTGGTGGGCGTTACCCGGATGATGGTGGAGAGGTTGAACAGTGTGCAGTAAGCAGCTGTTTTTAAAACTTCTCAGATTTAATTTCCAATACTGTAAATACCAAAAGCTATAAGCCGCAGAAACAAACACTCTTTGGTTCCCACTAATTTGAAGAATGGAACTGAATCGTGAGACCAACAGTTTGAGAACAGAACCAAACCGTGCTTCTTAAAGGGGGTCCGTGGGACAGTGTGACACAGGCCCTCTAGGAGATACACACGGACAAGGAAGGTGAGGCCTCAGAACTCTGACAGCAGCGTGACATCCCCTACACTGCCATAGGCCCGAGAAAAACACACGTCATCATGCTGTGTCTCTGAGAGTTCCTGCATAGGCTCCCAGAGACAATGAAGTGTGTGTGTGTGTGTGTGTGTGTGTGTGTGTGTGTGTGTGTGAGTGTGCGCGTGTGTGCGCGCGCGCATGCGTGCGTGTGTGCGTGTGAGTGTGTGTGTGTGTGTGTGAGTGTGCGCGTGTGTGTGTGCGCGCGCGTGCGTGCGTGTGTGCGTGTGAGTGTGTGTGTGTGTGTGTG